GATAGATAGATAGATAGATAGATAGATAGATAGATAGATAGATAGATAGATAGATAGATAGATAGATAGATAGATAGATCATCACCTCCCACTGGTCTGCTTCATACCTGTTCCACCGTTCACCCATGGCCCATTGTCTGCCAAACCAAGCAGCAGCAGCTGGCAATCCATCATAGATGACTGGACCCCCTCCCCACCCAACCGCGGCTCAGACACCACTAAGCCCAGCTAGCTACTCACAGCCAGTGGCTAACAGCTTCAGACAGGCGTGGGAGTGGGGATGTATCCAAGTAGGATCTGCCCTCAGAACTGGACAAACAGGGGCTCAGGCCAGGAAACGAGGCCCTCTGCCTCAGGGCCCGCGGCCTCTTGCTAATCCCACACCCCACTGCCCCATCTCTGTGGCTGCTCGCCACTCAGTTGAACTAATGGAGCAGACTCGGTACCGCATGTTCTTACACTTCTGCGTACGATTTTCTGGCAACAAAAAAAAAATAGCTTCAGAGGTTCGTTAATGATCATATCTGTTTATGCTCCCTATTAGATAAACAAGATTAATCAGGTTCTTGATCAGGCCCAAAATAACTGAAAAACTAAATAAGAAATTGTAAATTGTCATATTTTTGTATGCATATATATGTATATATATGATGTTTAATGATTTTGTTGCTGTTGGAAAAGTGTTTGCATTTTTTAATGCCATCAACATAAGATGGAACACAACTAATGTGCTATTTAATCTCTTCTTTTAAAGAAAAATCTGAAGGGTTTAGATCCCAGTGCTTATAGATTCTCCTCATTTGATGTAGGGTTTCACTTCAGCATCTTTGGGGTTACTCTGTTGTAATTTTGTTTGAACAGAACACCCTGTGTTTTCAGTGCATGCAGTTGAACTCTGTCAGTAAGACGCCCTGCCATAATAATACATACTAAATCCAGTCTTCATTGTTACAGAAAAAGAAAAGTATTCGTTAGGATGCTATGTTCTGGAACCCACTGGACTATTGGCAGGTTTGTCAATTTTAAATGACATCAGTTTCATAGGGGTTAAAATTTAGTGTTTCCACCTAGAATGAAACATTCCAGAGCGGATGTAAGGATTTCATGTTGTGCTTCATGAGGGACCAAAAATCTTTCTCCCTGAATGCAGATTTAGATAGATGGCGGAAGGCTTGAGTCAATTCAATCCCGTATAGGCAATTTAGTGTCTTTATTTAAACTAACAAGTATGTTTTTAGAACGCATTCATACATGTTCATATACATGTATATATTTAAAAAAAATAAAAATAAAATAAATATATATATATATATATATAGAGAGAGAGAGAGAGAGGAACGGTTGATTTTGATTAATCAAAAATTATACTAAATAAATACTAATGTGAATAATTAATCATTATTGTAATGTATGCTAATGTATAAATAATTAAACTCTCTTTTTCCCTTACTTCACTTCAGAAGGGCGTTTTATTTTCAAAATAATAAACTTATTCTCTGCAGACTTCAAATGATTGCAACTTCCTTTCTTTTCTAAAGTCTTAAATAGATCTGACAATCTACCGTGTAGATCCTACACATTCTACACTGTTTCCCTTCAGCTCTATGTAGGCAAATGAAGCAAATATCTCCTTAAGAATCATTACTGTTCTGCAGTTTCAGTTATATTCACATTTGGTAAGCACCACATACATAGATACCAAGTATCATTTGAGTAATTTTCAGCAGTTTTGTAAAGTATTTTTAATGTTTTGTCCACTGAAAGCACACATCCACTTATGTGATCACGGCAAATTTTATTGCCAATTTTTATGTTTTTTTTTCTTTCTGTTTTTTATTCAGACAAAACCAAATAAAATGAAACACACATGAAACATATTTAAACAAAGAACTGAGCTAAGCTGTAACAGCAATGGTTTCCTAACGTCTTCTCCTCATTTGTCCTCCAGATTCACTCTTATCATCAGTCGCTCGGTAGGTTCTGGTCCCCTTTTGTTGATGAAATCCTGAGGCTGTAACGGAGGCTGAGAGAAGCAGACAAGGTTGCTGAATAAACACTTGGAATCCATTCATTCGCAGAGTGGCTCCAGGGGACAGAGGGGAGGGGGGAGAAAAAGAGGGGGAATGAAAGAGTGTGAGAGAACACATGAGAGAGCGCACAACCTTTTTCTTGCTCAAGCTCATCAAGTACGGGCCAGGGCTCCTGAAAACCTAGGGATTACCAGGGTACTGGGGCTGTGCTGGCCTGGGCTGCCTGTGCTCACTCCTGCACTGCACGCTACACTGCCCTGAACATGGTTCTCACGCAGACACACACACACTTTCATAAATGCAGTTCAGTTTTCCGAGGGTTGATATTTGACCCCAGAGCTACACATATACACATACCGTAACAGTCATATAAACAAAAGTTACAGTTAAACATTAGTAGTGTGTCAAATGCATGTCACAGCTGAAAAAAAAACACAAAAATGAAGTTTTTCTGCTGTTCATCCCTCATTTAGAAACATACAACGTCCCAACCGTCACAATACGTTTAAAGTTATGTTATTGGAGTATTTGTTTCTCCCTCCAGCCTTTCACCCGTAAGACATTTGGAAAATCCCTCTGCCTTGAGCCGTAAGATGCCAGAAAAAGCGGGGAAAAAACCTTGAGGTTAAATCCCGTTAGGATAAGCAATTGAACAATTAGGAAGTGAGCAGCGTGAGCATCAGGTAGACGACTTCAGCCAAGCCTTCATGCTTAATTCTGTCACTTCTGTCGATTGCCTTAAAAGAGAAGCCATGAATTTCTGTTCAAGGCCACATTTTTATCATTACGAATCACGCTAAATTAAAAGATTTTAAATTACTTTGATGGTGGGTCGGTCCTTCTATTTTCTTCTTTTTTTTGTGCTGACTTATCATTAAGATTATAAGGCTTATAAGGGTTATATGCAACTTTCTCTATGTATTTTTTCCCTCTCTGTTATTTTCTGTGTTCTAGTTTGGTCCACCTAAGTGTACACATGGCATTTTCCCACTTTTCATTTTAAGTGAGCTGTCTTGATGGCAAAGAAGGACATGAAAAAGTATACCAGTGGTGGTTGATAGGAATCCTTTTGTGAATTTTAAACACACCGACAGTATTAAGGAAGCCGTTTGCACACGGGCAGACATAAGCAGTAACCTGAAATTAGCATGACGATCTATACTGTTTTCTTCAACTCTTGGCAAATAAAGCAGATATTTCCTTAACAATCTTTACTGTTTGAACAAAACTGGCATTTTTTACCCTCATAACTACAAAAAGCTTTTTTTTTACATGTAAACAGCAACATGAATACAATTAACAAGATCCCTCTTAAATACTAATTGATAATCTGTCAATCGACTTTAACAACATTGATAAGAAAAATGGTCATTTCAGTCTTCAAATGAATGATAATTTACACAGGACTGCTTTCCAAAATGACAGCCTAATCATTTTGGGAAATATCTATTTATTCAATATGTTAATTATTACGTATAGAGATAGTAAACACTGAATTTTTTACTCCACAGCCAACAGAGAAAGGATTGTCGACAATACCAAAGCTCTTGACTCACTGCTGCTTCTCCCTTTTTTAGGAGTTCTCCGGGTCATTGAGAGTAGAGTAAACAGTCAACATCTGACATTAATCTGTTCCTCAATGTGAAGTGATCAAAATGGATATTTTCCCGAAGGAAATATTAGTCCTAATCATAGAATTCTGACCCCTGCCACTATGACATCGTTAACTAGATATAGTACAAAAGTGGATGCACACAAAAGTACTGCCCCGACACTGGACTATATAATAAATTCAGAACATTTTAATCTAAGCCAGAGGTCGATCTAAATGCAACAAAAACTGCTTGTTGGCTTTACTGTAAGAGGTCGAGTGTTTGAAGCATTCCTGGTAGACTATGTGGACCAGACTAGCAGACTGGATAATGACTAACAGCTTACCACAAAGGAATGGGGGTCACAGCTGAGTTGTATTTGATTTGTGTGCATGACTGGATTTGGTGGAATAATGTTAACATATGTTGCAGCGATATTGAATATATATATATATATATATATATATACACAAGCTTTTAAATATAAAACAGAACCAAATTACGTTTTATCTTTTTCTTCAGAGCAGAGTATCAGTGAGGTCACGGTGACATGAGCAAAACTTTCATGACACGTCAGAGTTTCGGAGCTCAGAGAAAAGCGACTGAAGTGGGCTCTACAAAGGGACAAGGACTCTCATTCAATGACTTTTTATAAAACTCTCTTTCAACGTGCGCTTCTCACTCTTCACCTAAGCCCCACAGGTTGAATCTTAAATTTTACTTCAGAAAAAAATATAAAGTAAGCCACTTTAAAAGTGCAATGTTTATATTTGTCATGGTTTAATCCCAAAGAGTCTGTATGCCTCACTTTGACTCTGCTAACAGCACTTGCCGTCCATCTCAAAGAAACCACTGAGCATTGCCTGGTGGTGAAAGACGGACAGCAGGCAAGGAGATACATAGAGCTCAGCTCTGTGGCTTCATTACCTTGAAAGGGGCGAAAGGGCTATGATTAGACCTGGCTTTTACACAGACATGTATATATTGAGGTTGCCTCACATGAACTTGCAAACACACACGCACACACACACATAATGCATGAAATACAGACACGCCAATCCAAATGTCCAACCTTTATCACGAAAATTCATTAAAGTAGAAAGGTCAGGATAAAGTTAATTGAAACTGAGGCTGAACTATTCTGCAGATGCATCTTATTTATTGAATCCTGATAACATTTAACTGTAGTATTCTGCTACACAGTCTATTTTTCTAAAAAAAAAAAAAAAAAAAAAGTTGATGCACAGTCAGGTGAGAATTAGCTCACTTTCTGCCATGAGTGTTTTTTTTCTGTCAGTTTTCATCTCATGAATTTCTGATGTCCACTCTGTGGTTTACCTGGTCTGTAGAGGCAAATTAGGACAGGGTTGCTTGTGTTTGCCATTCAGTACCACACCCTGTCACTTCCTATTGTCCAACCCATTGTAACAGACTAGCTAAGGCAGTTGGGATCAGCATCCATTATGTTCACTAAGACAAATGCACACAAGCGGCCACTAAACTTCTCAGAAGTGACCCTTGAGCAGATAGTCACATACAGGATAATGACGCTCTCATGTACTGAACTAAGGTTTCATGTACTCCTCTATGGCATGGGCTTAGTCTGTTACAAACTAAGTGCACAATTTATATTATCTTACACTATGTTGGTGATCCATCATTGTGAAATGACACACGTCACTTCTTGACATTATTATAGAAAAAATATGCAATAATGCGTTTAATGGAGAAAACAATAATCAGGGAACGTGTTTATGCTAAGCTTGAATTGTAATCTTTGTTTAGTCTGACAGGATTATTACCAAAATTGTGTTTCACATTGAGTGACTGAAGACCCTTACACCCATCTAGTGGTCAGCAGATAAACTTTGTTGTCTGGGATCAATAGAGGAAATTACTTGGTGGAAAATCTCACAACTAGTTGATTGACGATAGTTTTCTTTGTTAGGGTCTTTTGGAATTAAAATAGAAAATGGATGCAACGTTACCTGTTTTGGTGATTTAAAAAAGTGAAAACACCATGCAAAGGGTGCCAAAATATACATATCAGTGAGTAAAAGGGGGTGGAAAACAAAGTAGTGAATGTAGCTGAGTCAGAAAAAATAATGGCTTATCATTAAATTAATGTTAATTAATTAATGTAATTAATTAATAAGTAATTATCTAGTAATTCTTTAAATACAGTACAGTTTAATATATTTAACCAAATCAAAAATATGGAATGTAATGTAGGTAAGTTGCTATACGGGTTTTAATAATAACTTGCAGTGTAACAATTTTAATATGTAGTAAAATAATATGATTGTAAAGTATTCAGTACTAACTACATTTTATCAAAGAATTAAGATGACCAAAATTGACCGTGCGCAAGTCTTTGCAGTAGATGGCAGAAGAGTTTTTGTATCTCTTTGCCTTCCGCAACAACCATACAAAGAAGAAGAAGAGCGGAACTATAGAGCTTTTTTGTTCTTCCCGGTTTACAAAGTCGACGGACAGGCGGCTTGCTTGAAATAATAATGGCGTCAAAAAGATCAAAAGTGCCAAACAGTTCGAAAAATACCTCAACCGAGGAAAAAAGGTACTTTTTGAAACGTGTTTGTATTTTGAATGAGTATGCAACTATTTGCAGATTTTTGTCCTGCTGGGACGTAATTGGAAGAAAATGCACAATCGGACTTAGTTTCAGTAAAAACACCATATGTTGAATACTATCGCTCTTCTTTCAACTTCACACGTAGCACATAAATGCATTTGCCCTTTTCCACCAGTGGACGGATGATAGCTAAATTCACTTTATTGGAGTAGCTAAAGTTACGGTGATATAATCAGTTTGATACCGGAATACTTAGCTTTTCTGTTGACGTTTGTTTTCATTTTAGGGACAGTTCAAAAGGTACTGATGCCAATAAAGCCAACAACAGTGGAGCTGGGGAAAAAAAAGTTAAATGTGAGTATTACAAATGAACAACGCATTCTTTAAGTCGTTACCTAATTCATCACATATAATTATTTTTGTGTTGAATCTTTATGCATTGTTTTGGTTTAGTTGTGACCAAATACATATTCCAGGTTATTGTCCTCAAATGCCCGCTAGTTCCATCAGAGATACATTTTGATGTTTTTTGGATGTATGCTGATCCTATGCTGGATAGTTTCACTCTTAAACTTAAACACAGAACGATACCTTGTGAGTCTCTGTCCTATTATCACATTGAATTAACCTAATTAGTTTTGATATTGTCCATTTAGGAGACATTTCACACAGAATGTTTTTGCAGTTTGTTATATATACATTGCACAGTATACAGTTTTACAATCCAGTCAAGCTTTGTCCACAAATCTACAAAGCACTTTAAAACCAATTTCATGAAAGTCTTTTACAAAAGTCACCATTACCAGACACTTTACACATGACACCAGAGGATAAAGGAGATAAAACACTAATAGAATTACCCATAACAGGAACTTTGTGCTGATTGGAACTTCTAAACATTGAGTGATGTGGAACACAGATGTTTGAAATGGCTTTCTTGAAATTTCCTTAAGCTCATATCGGGAATGCACTGTTATGTCCCATTAAGGAAAACAAAGCTTAATGGGTTCATCTCACAAAAACTTTAAAAGTGTTTTTCATTACTATTTAGCAACTGGGACTGTTGTCAAATCTCGATATCTACAGGCTGCGGAAAAGACTTCTCTTTCAAAGGTACTGCTTTTGTTGCTTATTTACTTTTCTCCAACACAGTTTTGTTTAGGGTAATATGGTGATCTTTACGGCTTTCATTTTTTAAAATCTCATTACATCACCAAATATAATTACATATAATAATGCTATATAATATATATTTTTAATTTCCCTCTGGGATAAATAAAGTATTATTGAATTGAATCATTTCAGAGCAACTCGCTGTCAAAGGACTCCACTATAGTGCCTTTACGACCTTCCTCTCCCAAACCTCCTGCTGTCAAACCAAAGGTTGGCACTCCACCAAGGCGCTCTATGGCCCCACAAGCACTCGCAGAGTGTGAGTACTTCTCATAGTAGTAATTTTGGTTATGTCTCGATAATAGTGCCCTTATTTTGAGAATTAGTGTAAGATTGAAAGACCTTCAGTAGTGCAATGTAGTGCCTATGATTTTCACTATTTAGCAAAAAATAAATGAATGTTTTTACTGAAAACATGTCAATATTCTCTCCATTGCAGCAATGATGTCGCGTGAAATTGATCCAGCTGTTTTTGGGAAAAGTATTTTGCAGTCCACCTTCTCAGATGGTCACTGCTTTCGACCCGATTTTGACATTTCAGTCATCAAAGGTACATATACACACACATATATACATATATATATATATATGTATATGGGTTCACTGGGATTAAATGTTTTTCTTTTTACCCTTTCAAGATAAAACTTTGCAAGAAAATAGATCAAAGCCTGAGAGAAATCCTGACATTGAGAAGAGGAAAGTTGAGATGCAAACACTTCTCCTGGCCTTCCTCACTGCAAAGGTAAAAGGGTCTAACAGTTTACATTTAATTTTTTAGAAAAAGCTTTCAACTTTCCTGTGCATCAGTGCACAGAATAATTTTATGAAAATGTGGCTGCCTTCATGTCTTAAAACTCATTCTGTTCTGTTGGAGTTTTAAAAACTCTTTTGCATATCTTTAATGACATGGTTCCATATCATAAATTGTTTAATTGCAGATGGAAAGCAATACCACAAAATTTAAGACCTTGGCAGAGTCAAAGATCTTACAAGTGATGAAAGAAGAAGATATGCTGCGTAATGAGTTGAAGGAAAAGAAGCAACGGTACCTTGTTGCGGAGAAGAAGAAGATGCTGAATGATCTGTTGGATTTACAGGTCAAAACACTCTCCTCCTCACAATGGGTTGTTTTAATCTTTGTGCAGTTTTAGATAACGCTGCTGTTTTAAACTGTAATAATACACTAAAAGAATCACACGATTCTAATCATTTTAAAACAGGAAAAACACTCGTCAGTGCTCCAGTCAGTGTTTTTTGGTGGGTTCACATTGGACATATTCGTCAAACAGAACACAAAAACGGGCAATTGTGACTTTAATATGCAGCAATAACATATTAATAACCCCCATTAATGTTCTTGGAATTGTGTTTTAAAATGTAAAACATTTCAAATGAAAACAGTGGATGTTCATAAGACAACATGCGGACACGCTCATCCTGTTGATAATATCTTTCACATCAGACTGAGACACTGGAACGGCTGGCGGCGGTTTCCCAGCAGTTTACGGTGGACTACAAGTGTTTTGCTGCCGCTGTGGACACCACTTGCCATGAGCTGCCCGTGAAGAATTTTTACCTAAACGGGAAAGGAAAGGAATTTTTAGGTACTATATTACTCCTAATATATATTTTTTCACATTAAAAATAAGTAACAGAGAACGATGATGTAAGCATTTTCAAAGTGATTAAATGTAAATGTGTGTATCAAATTTTCCTTCATAGCTTAAACTACCAAATTTAATCTTTAAGAAAGAAATTCCCGTTTTTTATCTTGTTTAACTCTGGATGGTTTATGTCAATATCTTATTTTACAAGTGTTGCAGAAAAAAAACAAGATTTTGTAATGTTTTGCCTCATTGGGGACATGATGTTATTTATTTGGCGTTATAATATTGGAATTTTCTGTGTAACAGTGCTCGTTGCCCTTGTACAAATGAAGTAATATGTAGTGTATAATTTGCAGAAACTGATGATGGATGTTTTTGTACTCATCTACTTCATACCCTTGTGTAGATAAAGTTGAAGTTTGCCTGAAGGAAACAGAGAAGTTGTTGCAGGAGTGCACACAGGGAGACCATGAGGCTAACAGCACAACTCTAGAGAGCCTACAGGAGATGAAAACGACAACAAAGAATATCAGTCAGCAACTTACAGGGTATGAACATATGAAGAACAAAGCATTTGCATTATTTTACGAAAACGTGCACCAACAGATTATTTTTAAGTTTCCCTTGAACTGAAGTTAATTCTTTCCTGTCCTAAATTTTCAGAACATTTTCAGAACTACGGAAACTGTCATCATTGGTTTGCCATCACTCGGTCTTTGTCCAACAAGCCGCCGAGGAAGAGAAACTGGGCAGTTCAAAAAGTTGGGAGCACCTTTGCCCCAAAGAGTGAAAAATAACTCACCACATGAGATACACAGTACATGCACTTTGGATTGGCCCATCGTCTCTTTAAAAGTTCCCTCCTTCATTTTAAATGTTTTGTGCTATTTGTCGTCTCTTTATGTATGAGCTGATTCTTTTGTAGATATATTGTGAAAAACTATAAATGTTTAGTATTCGCTGATTTAATAAATCTGGTTATTAAACTGAAATAAATAACAGAACACAAACTGTTTCGATGAGGATCAGTGTGTTATTTTGAAGTTGTACAGCTGAGTACACCTAAAAAGTCATCGTTTTAAGTCATAGTCCTAGGGAAACCAGATATTTTAGTATTTTGAGGTTGTAACTGTCTCTCCCCTCTCCATGAAGATGCTTTAGGAGGAGATAAGTCTGAAATGCCACAAGAGGAAAATGCGGCTACTGTCTGATGTAGTGTGAGAATGGGAAGCAGTGACCACACTTCGATGATTGTTCCAGTGAAGCTTTCACGTGTAGCATCGAACAGACCAGAGATGTTGGTTTATGCTTTGCTAGACACCCAGAGTAGTAACACTTCCATTGATCAAGAGACATGTGGGAAAATGCAACCAAAGACAGAACCAGTTAAGTTAAAACTAAAAACAACGACTGACAGAGGTTTAATAATGCCTAGTTATAGAGTGAGTGGACTATTGGGAAAGAAAGGTCAATGTTTTAAACAACTATCCTTCCTTGAGAGACCAGTTCAGAAACTAGTGGTATTAGTTGAAAATGAGTCCTAAGGTACAGTAAAAGGGTACAAATGTTAACTCAAACATAAATGGGGGAATTTTAAAGGTTAGTAGGCTAGTTTTATTTTGTAACTTAGTGTGAAGGTTGTCATATTTGAAAATGACCAGATTTACCTCAATACATTGTGTATTTAAATCTTTTGTCATCTTGGTGGCAGTGTAACTGTTGTAGAGATAAGTTGTTTATTTGTTCATATTTTTTTTTTTTTCTTTGCAAATGCTGAATGTGTAATGGCCTGCTGGTGTACTGTTCCTGGAGTATTGCAAAACAAAAGCTTATTTTTGGGGGCTATCCTTGATCTAGTCTTAAATTTTGGGGTAATGAATATCAAACCAATCAAACTGGTGTTTCATCTCATTCATTATTAGTAATATCATGGTGAACCAGAATTCAGATTAAATAGGAAAAGCACCCATGTAAATAACAATATCCTTAAATAATTCTGTGTAGTGTATATGAATTAACCTCTTTGTGGGTGTGCAGTTTGTGGTTCTGAGTGAGGCAGTGGTCAGTATGGCACCTTTCCTGATCTCGTGATTACGAGGAAAGCTTTCTATTTTTTTATTTCATTTCCAGTGAATGCATTGCACTTACGTAGAAATTCTGTTCTCTGTTCGAATCGAATCAGAAATATATGCACTTAAATACTGTTTTAAAGAGTCCACTTCACCTGTGTTTCCGTCAGTTCCGGATATGACGTATTAGCCAAATACAAATACGGTCTTTTTATTGGATGCTGCTTGAAAGTGACGACATACCTCTTCAGAAGAGCCAATGAACCACGGACGAGCTCCCCGTCGCATGTGAGTACAACACTGGGGTAAACGTTTTTTTATTTATTTTTTACAAAGGTAGCCCTTAAAAATGTATATTTTTTCACAAACTCAGATTTGTATTGCTTAATGAAAGTTAATTGCATCAAATGAGCGCGCGTGTTCGGCGGCAGTGGCATGAACCTGTAGCCCGATGCTGTTAGCTAGCTGGCAAGCGATTTTTGCGTTCAATTTGATGGTTGTAAAAATGATGTTTGACATATCTTATTGGAACCTCTGACACAAAAAAGTAATATTGTTTTCGATGCTTATTTGACCCTTTATCTTGGAGGAAGTGAGCAGCTCAATTGAGATGTTTTAGCTCGTTGGAAAGTGTTGAAATTAGGAAGAGGGGATTTAAAACGCTTTGCATTCGAAAAACCGCAACCTTTAAAACGAATGTTTAAGAGCATACTGTTGTGCAGAAGGTAGTCGACTTGTGTTACTCATTGGCATTGACTTTGTCATGAATGGCGCCCCAAGTCTTCCATGTAATGATGATGATTATGTCCCAAGTCAGTCTGGCTGGTTGGGAATTCTTTAAGGAAAATCAGTTCTAACATGTTAAATTGGTCTTTTTCCCCCACACCAATTAAGCATCCATGGTTCAGCTAAGTTCAGCTAAAGTTAAGTTGGAAGGCAGGTTTGTTTCCGTTCTGTTGCTGCATTAAGTTTTGGAAGGGATGAATCAGCTAATCTTTTTCTAATGAAACCTTATATGTAACTCTTAATGCAACTTTACCCAAAACAGATCTCACTCCCAAAGGAGTGCAGGGCCATCGGGAAGACAGTGGAGACAGAGGAACAATGAGCAATCCAAAAGCAGAACCCAGAGGGGAGAGGTGGAGGAGGACGAGCAGAAAGCCGGACAGCGGGAAAAGGACTCGGAGTTCAGAGGGACCTGCCAGACCATGTGCCCAGCTCAGGAGCTGCAGGACCGCGAGAGGAAAAACTGCCTCCACCGCTTCGAAATGGTACCGGGCACGGAGAAATCTAAGAAACCGAGGGGCGACCCCTCGCGTGCCGTGAAGGAATATTCGAGACCAGCAGCTGGAAAGGACGCAACAAACCCCACCGAACTCCGACCACCTTCTGTGTTACTGAAAACTGTTTGTTACCTTATTGACAACATTGTAGCCTCCCCTAAACAGCACCCATGGACAGAGGTGAGTATCACTTGAGCAACCCAATATATATATTTTTTACAAGTAGGACCATATTGGAGTGTTGATAATTGGTGTTTGATGAGTGGGATTTATCTTATAAAGACTGTTTAGAACTCAGTTGTGATTTTATTTTATTCCAACAGAACTGAGTATGAGTAGATGATGAGATGGGTTTCAGTGAGTAGTGTGGTCAAATTAAATGTAATTAAATTTTAAATGGAAAGAAAAAAGAGTAACATGACCAAAAAGGGCTTCATTCTAGAACCCCCATAGAACTGTCATCATAGACATCCACAGCTTGCATCCTTATAGGTCTGTTCTTCTCTTCCAGGTGTACAGCTTTGTGTTTGACCGACTGCGCAGCGTTAAGCAGGACATGATCATCCAGAGGGTGTCTGGGCCCGACTGTGTGGCCATCTTAGAGAAGGCGGTACGCTTCTTCATCTACTCGTCCTATCGTCTTTGCGGGGAACCCCTGCGGCTCTACGACCCAGTCATCAATGACACGCACCTACAGGAGTTCCTCAGCTGGCTGCTGGATTGCTACTCCACTGGAACTGGACCCTATCTTAATCAGGAAGAATTCTACTCTCTTGGCTTGCTCTACAACCTGGGTTGGTAGACATCTTTAACACATCCCACTTAATTAAGTCTGCACGGTGAATTAGAGTTTAAAAAACAAACTATGCACCATTCAATGATTTAAACATACACATTTTAAATCTAGGATTTACTGTATAAAAAGACAATAAATAAGGAATATTCTGTATATAAGTTGAGGATGTGGACAAAAACAGTTCCAATATCTGAAAAGCTGCAATCTAATCTGGAGCAGTCTGCTGTGGTGGTCCCTTTTTGAGTATTATGTCCACTTAAAGTAGATAGTTAGGGTGAAAGAGCATTTTAAAAGGGAGGAGGACGGGATTAAAAAGTTTCCTTAGACTAGTCTTTCGAGGTTGGAGCTGTTGCTGCAGAGTTTTGGGGGGAATTTGGTGCATCTGGAGCATATTCCCATAGTAAAACACGGTCATTTCATGCTGTGGGGTTTAGCTGCCATCAGATGGGTGCTGAAATCATATCAAGTTTTTTTTTTAATCTCAGAAGGAAATGTGTCACTCAGTGTCAGAACTGGGTTGTGAGTCTTTAAACAGAGCAGCCCCCATAGTGTCCAGCAATCTTCAGATCCATTTCAAAGGGACCATTGCTGCCAAACGGGTGATTCTTGTGAACATGGTATCGTATGAAACTCGTATGAAAATGGAAAAACCATTAAATACACTATTTCCCCTCCCCTTTTAAAATATAGAATATTGTTTCACTATTTAGTGTGAATTTATATCCCATATGCACATATTTAGATATTTTCAGACATTTATATTGAGGAAATAAATTCATTAACATAACACAATTTTAAATTATTAAATACACAGCAACAAAACTTTTCTTTAAGCTTTATTGACAGCCAGGACTTTGAGATCAAGGGTAGTGGGGACCAACAAAAACATTTATTACTAACAAAACCTAATGTTTTACTGCAAACAATTATTCATCACAGTAACATGGAAACAGTTTTTTACATATATTTTTATTGTGATTGTTTAAAAACATTTAATTAAAAAAAAAAATTGAACGGTACAAAGGGTCTGGAATATATTATTAAAAGTTTAGACATTAAGACTAATTAATTCATATAAATGTATGGATGTATGATTTATTTTTTGTGTTAGGGTATATTATAGATCTATTTTTTAGTATTTTATTTCATTACTAAATGAAAACGCAATCTTCTAACAAGCTCAGAGGTAAGCGCAGTTGCCTACCAAGTCTGGGGTTCGATTCCAGACTACACGTCAAGGTGTCTTCGGCCAAGACATCGACCACTAGTTACCTGCAACGTGGTGTTCTGTATCCTACTTTTTGCCAGTCCCAAACCCAGAGTAATCTGATTAATACCAGTACAGATGTAGCAACCCCTGATGGGGAAGCCTGTAAAGTCCTAGTCGACCAATCGGACCAAAATTCTGATCGGTCAACCAATTTGCCTGTTAATTTCACACAGTCTACGGTTAATTTCATCTGGAGAAAAGCACCAAGTGCTAATGGGGGCGTTCAGCCCTCTTTCACAAGTATAAAGCAGTCTTCAGAGAACACCCCTTGTGTTCCTCCCTCTTTTGGATTAGCCCAACACGCTAGAGACAGGTAGATTGCAGCTCCAAAGGTTTGCAGAATATTCACTTTTGTTTTGAAGTTTGATTTACTTGGAGTTAGTCTCCCATGTGAAAGATATCGGCCGTAAGGCAGAATTTTACAAAAATTAGACGGCGGGGGAAAATAAACCACTGAATTTGCAAACAACCATTTGCGTATCGCATCTCAACCAAAAATATGGTGTATAATCTAAAAAGGATAATTGATTTTATTTTTTTATTTTTTGGGTACAATGCGTAAACAGTCCGTGCCCACAGTTGGAAGCCATTGTTTTGAGCTTTGCTTTATTATTTTTTTCAGTTTTCACTTGATTAAGCTCAATTATTTTTTTTTTTTAAACTGAATTTAACTTTTTTTAAAGTAAAAATTTCAGGGCTTTCGTTGACCAAGAATTTGTTTGGTTGATTACAACTCTACAGATGGGAAAAAGCTGAGAGTTGACGGCATTGTAACTCCTGAAATGGCTCATTTGCTTTTTCAGAAAGTATTTCAAATTGAAACTCTTGGGAATCAGGCAATGTTAAACATAGCTAATTTCACAGAAAGAATGGAATAGTTCCTGACACTGCGTGTTCTGCAGGCTATACTTTTCCTCCTTTTAAAAAGGGAGAGACTTAACAGTTTGTGTTTGTTGTGCAGGTTCCACCCAGGCAGCGCAGCACGTGATGGAGCTCCCGGCGCGGCTCCGCGGCAGCCCCTCCATCTCGCTGGCGCTCGCCATCAACCGAGCCTTTCAGGAGCGGAACCCGGTGCGCCTGCTCCGGCTGGCCCGGAGGCTGGACTTCCTGCAGCTGTGCGCGCTGCACCGCCACCTGCCCGCCTGCCGCCGGGACCTGCTGCTGACCTACAGCCACGCCTACAGCAGCCGCAACTGCCGCTTCCCGCTGGACGCGCTGGCCCGCCTCCTGTCCCTGGACGCCGCCCTGGCCGCCCAGCTGTGCCTGGCGCACGGCGTGCAGGTCAGTCGGGACGAGCAGGTGGTCTTCTCCAAAGCGGCCTTCGCCGAGCCCGAGCAGGGCCACGCCCACTGTAACCCGTATCACGGCATTGTGTCGGAGAAACAGAGAAACCTCACCGTGGACGGCGTCATTCACGGTCGCACCGCGAAAGTGGTGTGAAATGTTTTTATTAAATTGGTAGCAACGGGGACAGGTTGTCCAGGTTTAATGATTCCACAGTGTTACAATAAACAAACGCATTCGAGGCAATTTGGCAATTTAGCGTGTGACATAATGTGAATTAAGAGGAAATTATGTGTAACGACAATCCAACTCTGAAGGTCCGATCTTCTGTTGTTTCTTTCAGGGATGCCCGACAGTTATATATTTTCGGAACTCAGTGTTTTTAACCAGACATTTATGGTTTATCGAACATAATTCCAACTTCAGGTCATTTTATACCCCAAGGCTCTGAAAAACTGTAATATTTTAAGTGTTTTTGTTGTACCCTTTCCTTTGTTTAGTTGATTGATGTCCGTTTTTACCATTAATGTGAATTCATTGTGTTAATAGATTTCTCTTAAACCACTGAATAATGATCTGTGATGCTTTAATCAATCCAGTACGATGGAATATTTCAATAAATTTGGTATTTAACATAGCTGCCGTGATTTTGTTTGTGTTTGGCCTTTTGCATCGATCCCCTTTCGCCACTAGAGGGCGCCATGTTTCTGCTCAGGGCTCCAACGCACGACGAGCGTAAAGTTTTTTTTTTTTACAAAAATGGAGATATTCTCGGATCGGCTGCTGCATCAGCTGCTTTCACGTCCTGTGACCGAATCGTGGCAGCGTCATCTCTCCAAAAAAGCGCGACAGGAACAGCGTGACGCCCCCCGAGTGCCCACCCGGTCCGCTCCTCCAGTCACGCTCCCCCAGGCTGGGAAATGTGAGCGGGGGCACGCGCGTAAACGCGAATGAGGCGTCTCTCGACGCCGATCGTCAAGCTGGAGCGGAAAAAACAAGACCGGCCGACGTCAGCTGGGGTCGAGCACGCAAAGGGAGATGCGAGAGAGTGTTTTCTTGGGGCGGATTTCAAAGCGCGAGCTACACTTTCTGGGGAGATTTTTTTTTTTCCGAGCGCCGAAAGTGGGAGGACACCAAACAAGTTGTAATGCTGAAATATGAGAGAACGGAACCGGGGCGGGTAAAGGCACATGGGAGAGGACTGGTCTTGTACTCTGGGCTGTAAACGGAGGAGAGGAAGAAAAAAAAAAACAAGACTTGGAAGTGGATCTGGTTTATGATGATAACGACAACTTTTGGTTCCGAGCGAAGCCCCGCGTACCTATCTCTCCACCCCGATGGATCGGTAGACGGAGAGGACTTGTAGACAAGTTGAAATTGCATTCTCATTTTTATTTTTTTTTAAATCAGACGCTGTTGAGCCAACCTCAGAGCAGATCGGGGACCGGGAGCAAAAATGCTGCGGCGGCCGCTGACAGCTTGGAGCCTCTGGTGGGCTTTATTCATCTGCAACGTTAGCACAAGTTGCGCGCAACAAAGAAAGTAAGTGGCCCGAGTTGCATGTGGTTTCCCTTAAGAAGTGGCCCACGGCCACCGGTTATGGATCTAACATCTCGTTTTAAAGCACGGGTGGGAAATTAGGGAAATGGCTCGTTTTACGCGCAATGCGCACGGAGCGCAAAAGGCGTAAGGACTCGGTGGTGTGTCCACGCTGACCCGGGGCATGCACGGGTCTCGCAGGTAGGCCTACACCTTCAGACGCCGCGCTGCTGCTGGGGTTTTTTTGTTGTTGTGGTGGCCCACGGAAAGAGTGCGTTGCCGTGAGGAGAGCCGCGGAGATGCGTTCAGGGGCTGGTCCGCCGCCCGCCGGACGCGGGGACTCCGACACGATCTGTCAGCTGCTTTAGCGGCTTCAACTGACCTTGAGCGTTGTTTTTATTTGCCCATTTATTTATTTATGTACAGTTATTACAATCAGGTAGGGACAGGGGGTCTTAATGTGCAAATATGATCAAAATGACTAATTTATAGACCCTATTGCGAATTGCCGGCTTGGTCGGCTAGTATCTTTTTTTGTTTGTTTTTGTTTTTTGTTTTTTTGTTTTTTGGGGGATGTAAATCCATGTGACCGACCGTCGAAGTCTTTATCTACAAAGGAGAGGGAAATCCATCTTAGGGCTGTAAAGGGCTCTCCACTCTCCGGGGACCAGCGTTTGCGCCAAGACAAAGAGAACTTAAGTCCAGTGAGCCATGTGACTGAAAATAAACCCGTTCTCCACTACCTGATCCAGGCTCATCCCAGAGCTGGTTAAACTCACCGCAGATCAAAAGGCGTACGGTCAATTTCCTGGCATTAGCAGCCCCCCCTCCCCCCGAAACCTTATTTTCTAGGGATTTCTCATGACTCTCTCTCTCTTTCTCTCTTTCTATCCCAGGAGCTTCAGTTGCCTCCGGCCGTAATTCTGTGGTGCTATAATGCCAACCACCTGATCTTTCTGTCATGCATGCAATTGGGGTTATGCTCAAGGCTTTACTCACCCAAAATTTGCGTGATCTACAGTGAGGAAAGAAAAGAAAAAGCTGGCGGATCAGAGCTAAATTGACCCAATAAAAAGTTATTCATACATGCTTTGCTTTAAGCCTGTCTGCCCCTAACGACCAATTTTGAATTAGTTTTACCTCACAGTCAGCAAATACTAAAAAACCCTACTTTCAGAAAAGTTGGAAAGTTTTTCTAAGATTCAACAGATACTTAAATGTGTAATTTTTGATGGTTTGAGCTGTTTGCTAAACAGACATACACACATTTAAATTGATTTGGACCATTTCCAATGGCCATGAAACACATCGTGTTCAGAAAATAGAAACAAAATAAGAATTTAATGTGAGCAGCTCACTCAGAAAATGTTGGCAGAGGCAAAGAAACATTGTAAAATTTATTTAAAAAAAAAAATTTTTTACAAAAAATATTATTTTGGAATACTTTTGGAATACGATAACAGGAAAGGGTGCCAGGATCAATTGTAAGATTATTATCCACCTAATTGTCAGGGTGTGATTAAAAGAAACAAACAAAGAAAACAGTAATCCATTTAGTCTTTTCTTAAACGCTTTATTTTGCTGTCTTTTGGTGAATTGAATTTTTTGGGACATCTTTGGATAAGACAACTGACTGTATGAGAATCTGACCACTCGTACTCTAAACTGTACTATGGTAGTGGAACCGCACATAGAAATACAACTAAAAAATGTATCCAGTTCTTTGTTTTGATACCTTAATATCATAATTCATCCATTGTTTTTGCAATACCTGCTGGAGCTTATCCCAGCTGTCATTGGATGAGAGGTAGCTGATACCCTGGACAGGTCATCTGTTCTTATATCATAATGTAAATGTAATATTTAGAGTTTATATTCTGTAAATAATGTTGAGATAAGAAGATTGAGTATTTTTCAGCAAGTTTGATCATTCTAACAGGTGCTGAAAAAGCAACAAAGGTTAGTGTAGGCACCGTCTCCTCACTCTCAACCTCCATTCCACCTCCAAATGGGAAACGGACGATAACCGTGGACAGTTGGGCAGCTGAAACATCTCTCTAAGAAACAATCCAACACTTCAAATCCTTTGTCAGAAAGCGATTAACCTCCCGAGAACCTGCGTCCTGATATGAGGACGCTGCATTTTTGCCTCTCTGTACCAGGATCCTTCTTTTTTCTTTGGACTTTGACCTCTTGGCCTCAAAGTAGGCGCTGTTAGACACTACTCTTTGAAATCTAAAGTAAAATGGTATATACATTTTAAACCAATGATGTTCTTATTGTGTAATTAAAATGTTGTTAACAAGTCATTTTGACCACAGAACCAAATTACAGAGAAAACATTTAATTAAATACATAAATACACATTTTAAATACAAAGATAAACCCACTGAGCCTGCGAAGAAAAACTTACTGTACCGTGACAAAGTCTAGTTATTAAATTTATTAGGTCCTTCTAATCCCAGATATATTGAAAATAGCAAAGATGCGCGCTGGACTTCCTCTGGTATAAACAACACTGATTAGCCGATGCCAGTAGGACATATTTTGGGTGGACTTTTAGACTCCCAATAGACAATGCAGCACATCGCAGTATCAGAAACCCGAGTTATGGCCTTACCAGTTAAACAATCCACAGCAATAGCTTACCTGTTCAAGAACCAAAAGTCCATTAAGACAATGTACTAATTTGGCCAAGCTCTTTTGCAATGCCATAGGCCTTCAATCGCCAGATATAATGCGATTTAATTTCTCTTTAAATGGTTTATTGGTTTGATAAACGCTCATCTGAGCATTTTCTTCCTAGACTGTCAGTAGATTTAAATTGATCTCCCATTATTAGGCTTTTTAAGCAAAGTTCTGCCATGGATGCCAGACCGGCCGCATCAGATTTTAAACCCCTGGTAATCTTTGCACATTGACCCGATTTCATCTCACAGATTCCGGGGCTTGCGTGTTGTTCAGCGAGAAAGCGGGAAAAACCAGAGTAAAGCATTACTTTTTAATACAGTGGGGAATGTTAAGTGTGTACGCATTCACGTTCTTAATCTCTTGAAACGTTTCCACCTCTTGTTCTCCTGGTCTGACCCCCTTTTTTTTTTTCTTCTCCATCCTCCACCTGTGTTTCTCCTCCTCTTCTTCCTCCTCTGTCAGGGGCTACCTGGTAACAGCACCGTCCGTGTTCCGGGCGGGCGTGGAGGAGAGCGTCAGCGTGACCCTCTTCGAGGCCCGAGAGGAGACTCGTGTCCAGGTGCAGCTGTGGGTGAAGGGGCAGACGGTCGCCCACAGCCAAAGCTCAGTGCTCGGTGAGGACGCGTTTTCAAGCTAAAAAAACCCTTTCCCTGAACATTCGGTGGCAGGTTAAACCCAAAGATACCCAGCCTGTGGAATTTAGTTGAGGAATCCTGACATTATACAGTATACAGTGGGGGAAATAAGTATTTGAATCCCTTGCTGATTTTGTAGGTTTGCCCACTTACAAAGAATGCAACGATCTATAACTTTAATCATATGTACATTCTAACGGTGAAAGACAGAATCCCAAAGAAAATTCCAGAAAATCACATCATATGAATTTATAAAAATTGATAACCATCTGATGATGAAAAATAAGCATTCTTTGTGAGTGGGCAAACCTGCAAAATCAGCAAGGGGTCAAATACTTATTTCCCCCACTGTATGTATTACACACTTCATAGGAGGGACGTCCGACTCCGGTCTTTGCTGGTTGTTGTCCTTTCCGATTTGAGACGTTTCCCTGTTTCAGCACGCTGGATTGACATTATCGTGCCATTAGGAGAAGTTTTTGGCGCTCGCCGATCCTTTAAATGTGCTCATTTAATCAGAAACAGGTGCCTAGATGCAGCGAAATGTCTAAAATCTGACGGGCAGCAGCCCTCGAGGACCGGATTTGGACATCCCCAACTTACAGTGATTAAACATAGACAGTATGAGCCCTTATTGACCTCATTTGTCTTAACCGTGCCCACCTGCTGATATGGTTACCATGCCGAAATCAAATTACAACACCTAACTGCCTTTTGGTGTATCCACTATATCATTTGTTTGACAGAAACCTTAATAAACTACTTTAGTTTAGCTTAAAATGGCATAGAAATGGGCCTCCTGCTAGCCATGGCTAAACATCTGCCAACAAATTGAACCCAGTTCTCGTAGTTCTCACAGCTTCTAGAATTATGTGTGAAATGAGTAGGGTTGCCTGAGCGTAAAAGAAGTATCTTATGCCCATTCTCTCTGTTTTCTGTTATAGAAAAGGGCACTATCAAGCTGAAGGTGAGTGCGTGCCGTGTAGTTTGCGTTTGCTCTCCCAGTAGAAATGACAGCTGCACGGTAGGGAGAGCCCCCGCCTGGTTGTGTGCACATTCTTCTGGCAACATGCAAATCAACACTAACGTTATTTGCAATGCAACATCTGTCTCCGCTCATTCATTGGGTATAAGGTAACAGCCGTAATATAATTTGCAACAGCTGCTGATGTGCACGTATGATCCTCCGGCCCCCGAAGGCTGGAATAGATCAGCAGTATGCACGACAACTTGATTCTTTGCCTATGTATTTTTAATGCCCCCCCCCTCCACACACACACACCCCAGTTATCTTCCCCCTAATTCTTGTAAATATTGTCATGCATAGCATACTGTAGAATTGATTTTTTTGTATTTTAGAGTGGAACCAGCAGAGTTAAATGAATGTTTCATTCTTTTTTTTCCCCCATCTCTACCTAATTCCTGATGTGTTGACTTTTCTTTCATGCCTGTGTGTGTGTGCCACCAGGTTCCCTCTGGGCTAAGGGGTCAGGCCCACCTAAAGGTATGGGGGAACCGTCACCTCACAGAGGGAGGTTACATTTTCCACAACTACACCACTGTCACCGTAGAGAGCAAGGGCACAGCTGTCTTCATCCAGACTGACAAACCCATCTACAAACCCAAACAAAAAGGTTCTGTCACTGTGCAGCGGGTAGTTAACTGCTTGATAAAGACGGAAATACAGCCGTGTGTTCTCCGAAGTGTGATCTGTTCGATCAGACGCGGACGAGATTTGTTGAATTCCTTAATGTGACTGTTGTTTAGCGTTGTAGTTTAAATGAAAAAAAAAACACAAGCGCTGGCTTTGCTGTCATTACAATGTTGTTTCCTTTTCTTGTCTTCAGTGCTCATCAATGTTTACATGGTCACTCCTGACATGAGGCCAGTGAATGAAAAGGTATTTCTGAATTTAAGTAATTTCAAAGTTATTAAGAATCCACCATGGATGCCTGTTACATAGAAAAAAAAACATTATTGATAGATAAATAAATTTGTTTTTTTATTTGTTGCTTGGGTTTCACAAAATAGAAATGATGTGCTTCTATGATTACATTTATTTATTTACTTGTATGTTTACATGCAATATCTTACCTAAATGTACTTTTTTTAAAAATAAAGATTTATGTTCTGCCTTTAGTATAAAAAAAACGTATACAGTCGCCCCTTTACAGATGCTTAGTTGGAGTAATTTGTCCTGGAATGTTTGCCGAGGCTCTAAATGTACTTTTCATAGTTCAGTGACGTCTACAGCTCCGAAAAATTTTTGCAGGTAAAGGGCAGTAGTCACTTCCACAGACAGATTATTGTTGGAAATGCAGAGTGAGGAGAAGAATTTGGGTTAAACCAAAACTCCTCTGGTGGCTTTACAGTTTTGTGTTCAATTCTTTCTTCATTTCAACATGTTTTTATATTTTTCTTTTTTTTTTCTTCCGCAGATTGAGGGATATATCCTGGTGAGTGGAAAGTGGCGGGGACCACCCAGGGTTGGCAGAGCCGTGTCCAGGACGGGACGGTGGCAGTTTTAATTCCCGGCCTGTTTGGAGATTACAGAGCAGGAGTCAGGGCAGCTCACCTAGATAACAGGGTGCTCTTTGGAACAGCACAGGGATAAACAACATGAAAGGAAGCTTCTCCTCTCTTTAGTCGCCCCACAGCCCCGTACACACTCTCATTCCCCTCTCATGCTCACTGACCTTTATGCTTCTTTATCCTGTCTGTTTCTTGATCTCCTGCGTTTGATGTTTGTGAGACAAATAGCACATATGCGTTTCATAAATTGCTAAGGGAAAAACCTGTCCACGATTAAGAGCTACCACCAACAACAACAGAGAAGCCCAGGTTACATGAGGTCTTGAAAAGGTCTTTTGATAGGAGTCAAAATCCTTTTTATTTGGCTAAAGTTATGTTTAAACTCTTAGATAAGGCCTGGATTCTTTAACTCAGGATAGATCAGATATTTGACAGAATCCCTGTGCGACAGTGAGAAATACAATCGACAACTAAAGTAGACTGTAACATCCTACACTGGCTTTACAGGACCCACGAGGATCCAGGATGGTGCAGTGGAAGGACCTTAAATCTGTTTGCTGTGGTAAGCCACATCTCTCTTATTCAGTGCATAACATCTGGATTTAATGACGTGCGTCTTTAGATGAGCTACATGGAACCGTATCTCCCTTGGTGCCTAAAAATGAATGAAATTGTCATTTTAAGATAAAGAGTGCGAACATATAACAGCTAGTATTGAGTAATAAGTATGGATTTGATATGCTGGATGTGCTTTTGTCTTTTAGGTATTGTGAATGTGAGTTTCCCTCTGTCGGACCAGCCTGTATTTGGGGAGTGGTTTTTCTTTGTGGAGGCGCACGGCCACTCCTACAACAAGTCGTTTGAAGTGCAGAAATATGGTGAGCACCTGCTTGGAGAGAGAGATGGAGTTTTAGCTCTAGGCACAACCGTTCAGTGATGCTTCTTTGTTTAGAATTCGTCTTTTTAACATGTCGAATCTCTGAAATGCCTCGTGGTTCAGTTATCAGTGTTTGTGGTCCACTTTGTTACGTCTTGGAATTGCTAAAATGACTATAAGTCGAGCTGACAAGCGAATCAAAGTTAAGTGTTTGCCTAATTTCTCCAAGTTTAGCTGCTTTTTTTCCCACATTCAAAGATGGTTATATGGGGTTTATGACTGAACAGGAAAAAGAAAGAGAGATTTTCCTGTTTCTGCTATAAAACGAAGGGACCACGAACAGTGAGTCGAACTGGTGCGTTCCACTTGTTAAAAGGGGTTGCCCTGTCACTTTTCCACACAGTAATGCCCAAGTTCGAGTTGGTGATCGATCCGCCACGCTACATCCGTGATCTCAACTCATGCGAGCAAGCAACAGTCACAGCCAGGTCTTTTCTACATACGTTTTTCATTGTTATTACAACATTTTATATTACAACATTGTTATTACAACATTGTTCTTGTTATGTTTGATGGAAATATTTTCTGTAATATCAATCTGATTTCATGGTTGAACTATACTTTGTCAACAACTTACAGGTATACATTTGGCAAACCAGTTTTGGGGAAGCTGACAGTCAATATGTCTGTGAATGGTGTTGGATATTACCACCATGAGATGGGCCATCCTGTAATCAAAACTATGGAGGTCAGGTTCTTTTTTTAAAATTGTTATCATGACTCTGAATATATATTATTAGATGCTTATAAGCTGACACACAAAGAAGATTGTTCTTTGATTATGATGCAAAATGCTTCAAATCTTAGTCATCTAAGCCATTCTGGGACAATTAAAACCCCAAATTGTGCCTGATTTTGTCTCATTGTTTTTCAGATTAAAGGTTCCGCAAATTTCAGCATTTGCGTCAGGGAGATGATGCCGCTGGATGTGGCTGATCACTTCAGGGGAACGGTCAGCATTTGGGCATCGGTCAGCAGCGTTGAGGGAAACAGGCAGACCACGTTCGACGATTCCACGCCCGTTCATAAGCAGCTCATCGACATCAAGTACTCAAAAGACACGCGTAAACAGTTCAAGCCTGGCCTGCCGTACAAAGGGAAGGTGAGGCTACAAATATTACACTTTGACGCTGTTAAAACAGTTTTCAAGTTAAGAGAGTGGTCTTGATATTTAGAAATTAACTGTGAAAGATCAATTTGGCTGTGACTTGCAATTAGCATCACTGATTGACCCCCATTGTTTGTTCACTCACACCTTTTGGTCCTGCTGACCTCAAGATTGAGGTTACATATCCCGATGGAAACCCAGCTAATAGAGTAAAGATACGTGTTAAGGCAGAGCTGACCCCAAAGGACAACGTCTACACCAGCGAGCTGACCTCCAAGGATGGCCAAGCTACCTTTGAGATACCCTCCATCCCTACAGCAGCACAATATGTCTGGCTTGAGGTCAGTGAGGGAGTGATAGTGGTCTCGGTTTGTTGTGTGTGAAAACAAATTTAAATGCAATACAGCGTAATTTCAGAGTACATTGTGTTTTTTGCTCCCGAAATAGGCCAAAGTGATATCTATTGACGGTAGATCAGTGGGGGACCAGTACTTGCCAAGCTACTTGTCCATTAGCAGCTGGTACTCTCCAAGTAGGTGTCACATCCAGATCCAGAGTCCGAGTGCTGCTCTTAAGGTTCGTCATGTTTTTTAGCTTTTTTTGGGGGCATAAATTTGAATTCTGCTACATTATCTGTTGCACACTGGATTGTTTAAAACGCATTGCAATTTTAAACTACCGATGGTTTTGTCTGTGTTTGAGCTTATATCAGTAATTCTTTGTGTTGTATAGATTGGCCAAGAGGCTGAAGTGGCCCTCAAATCCACTTGCCCCTGTAACTTCACCCTGCACTACGAGGTGGCTTCGAGCGGGAACATTGTCTTATCGGGCAAACAACCGGCCAACTCCACGATGTCACACCGAGAAAAAAGGGCCACGATCACTTTTGATAAGAACATTCACACTACCCATCACCCCGCCGCCGCTTTGGGTACGCTTGTGGTTAGATCTCTTGTTATTATGGATAGATCTCTCGTTATTATAGCCACAAAATTGGCCTTTTTGGTTTTAAAACAGTTGCACAGAAAAGCTTTTGTCTAAATCTACTCTAATCCAGTCTTTGGCTACACACTAGTCAGAAAGCTAGCATCAAACAGCTGTGCTTTTATTGTGATACTGCCGTACTATCTATAGGTTTTTTAGGGTTTTCTGTTTTCTGTTTATGTTTTTTCTTAGACAGCTTTCAGTAAAAATCAGAGCACCAGAAAAGTATTCGGGAATAGTGTGTTGTGTCAACGCCTGTCCTTTGCTTTCGCTCTGCCAGGTGCCTCTGACTCTTCCCCCCCGGTCGAGATGGACAACTGCGTCTCTTATCTCCGCTTCCCCGTCAGTCACAGCATGGCGCCGCTCAGCCGCCTGCTGGTCTACTACGTGAGGGAAAACGGCGAGGGAGTCACAGACAGTGTCCAGATCTCTGTTCAGCCCGAGTTTGAAAACCAGGTCCGTAAATCTAACGGTTGTTTTGAACCTCACTTCTCATGTCATTTTTTCCAGAAAAAAAATCTACTAACAAGCACATTTAGATGCCAGGGCTGTTCCAGTGTTTCAAGCCTTGTATATTTTTATACTGCTACTTAATTCATTTTATTTCAGTTTTTTTTTTTTAAGTGTTTCCTAAAAGCTGCAGAAAGAGTTGAGTCTCTGTGTACATTTTGGAGCTGAGCCTAAGTATGCGCACACCAGTTATTACACCACAGCGTAACGCCTGTAAACAAGCAGTTGTGTTGGCCAGAGATCGCTCCCCAGTTCCTGCCTGAGTTAGGCCGAGTTAACTCCCTGAAGTATTTACAGCTCTCTGGTATGCCCTAACAACACTTTGTGTGCATGCATGTTTGTGTGTGTGTCTGTGTGTGTGTGTGTGTGTGTGTGTGTGCGTGTGTGCGTATCCGAGGAGGGGGTTGTGTGGGCAGGATGAGACGGCAACCTCGCAGGCCACAGGCCGTTAAGTGGGGTCATGACAGGAGCAGATGACAGGTTACAGAATGGTGAAAGGAGGGCAGCGGAACCAATTAACGGGGCTAATTTGTGACTTTGTGCTGGTTAAAAATAGTGCCGATGTGTGAAAGTTAAGACTGACTCTTACCTTCCCTCGTACCCTTTAAAAGCGGCACCTTTCCCACTTTCTGTAATGTTTATTTTGCATAAAATCTTTCCAATTAAAACTGTTTATGTTCCTCCATATGGCCAAATTACCTCTTTGCATCTATCAGGAACAGCCTGAAAGATTGATAAGCAAAAACATTGATTTGCCTTTAAAAAGCGATTAACTATCTTTTCAAATAAATATTTTAAAAATGGCTGTTTCCCTGTTCTATGCAGGTGTCTATTTCTCTGTCAACGAATGAGTCCATGCCAGGGGACCCAGTGACCCTGCGTGTCCGGGCAGAAAGGGGCTCCTGTGTTTGCGTGTCCACAGTGGATAAGAGTCTTTACCTGTTAAAGCCCGGCTTTCAGCTCAGTCCCGACAAGGTTTTTCCATATTAGTTGTTTATTTGTCTTTGTTCGCTGAACTGACATTTTCTAAAGCTTTAAATACTGATAGCAAATGGGTGATTTCAAGTAATTAATTTTTGATAATTTTCGTTCATAATTGTGACTCTAAATTGTATTAATTGGCGTTGTTGTGTCTTTGTCCATACTAATGTCTTTTAAATGTCCAGGTGTTTAAAGAGATGGCAGAATTTGATGTTTCGGATGTCTTTGGCATTCCTAAAGATGACGGACACTTCTGGTGGCCTGGACTGTCATCGAAGAGACGCAGGCGGTCCTCTGTGTTCCCATGGCACTGGGATATCACTAAGGACGCACGTTTTGCTTTCACAGTGAGTCCTCGAACTCGTCCGAACGCCCCACGTCACCGTAGGGGCGTTTGGATGAGTTTGTGTGTGCTGACTTCTCCGCGCGTCGATTACAGGAAGCCGGGTTGGTGGTGATGACGGATATGGTGAGTTTAAACCACCGACAGAGCGGAGGCATGTACACGGACGAGGCGGTTCCCGCCTTTCAGCCGCACAGCTCCACCGTAGTGGCTGCCGTGTACCCCCAACCAGCTGTCAGGTCTGTGCCATTGTGAGTTTTTTTTTTTTTCGGTTTTAGGGAGAATTCAACTTCTCAAAAGATTTTTCTAACCAGTTCACGTGCGTAATGGATACTTCTTCTGTTTTAATCCATTCAAGAAACATATGTGATGACAGAAAATCTGTTTCTTTATGGATTGTCCTTATTGGAAAAGAGTTAATTCTTAGTTACAAATTAATGCAGAAATAGAATTCACATTGCTTGAGTTATTTACTAAAAACCATGACGTATACTGTCTTTTTATGATGTATTTTACTATTAGAAATTTGTTTTTTTATTAACTATATTCAAATTAATACCTTGAAAGTGAGTGAGAAGTTTGATTTAAAGTTGTGTTCCTGAATGCAACGCTTTCATGTAGATGAAAGAAAGCAACTTACTATAGTTGGAGAAACTTTACTATTGTTTTTTTTTGTGGATCGTATGCATTAATGAAAGCATATGTTTCACTGAAAACTGAAAACATCACATTTTGAGGTCAGCCCACGATAAAACCATTATCCAGCACCGAATTTCATTACTTTAATGTTTTCGACATCCTTGAGTTGAAATAGATCTCTTCAAAGAGTTGGCCCTCGTTTAATTTAATCTGTGTTTGCGATGTGAATTCCTCAGCGCCATAAATGGGTCTAATTGTAGTGATGAACTCATAATCTGACTTTAAGTATGTCAGTTAGATTTTTTTTTTTTTTAAAACAACACGTGTTCCCGTTGCGCTGCTCTACAGATTTCTGCCTGTATTTTGGTTTCAGAGCCGAGAAGCGGAGGCGCACATTTTTCCCAGAAACGTGGGTGTGGCACTGCCTCAATGTCAGGTATTTAAGTCATTTCTGTAAGCTCTACTCCTGCTTGTGTGTGTTTGTACATGTACACAGCCGTGGCTGGAGATTTTTCTAATATGAAAAACACAAAAGCAAGACAGGGGACACTAAGAGAATAATTTAGCTTGGCAAAATGAGAGTTAAATTGTGAGAAAATGTATGATTCCAATGTTAAAAAATACATGGTGGAGAATGCTATTATTAGAGTCTGGTTGTTTATATTCAAGAGAGGAAAGGTCTGAGGTTACATACACTGTTTGTGAGTTGATGTTCCATCATTTAGCAGCATTTAGCAGTTTTTCCCTCCGTGTATAAAGCTGTCTCATTTATTCCTAGAATGGACTCATACTTTCTCAAGCGCTCCCTCCATTAATTTTCGGTCCACATTAATAAATTACCTCGGATTTCCTGTCAAGTCCAAAGCTCTCAAACTCTTGTAAAGTGGATATTGGGAAACTCTGACAAAAGGAAGGGTGTAATGCACATTTTGAAGTTTATTATGGCCCCCTCGCTTGTTGCCAAGAGCTTGGCATTGGCAGCCAAGAGTGACCTCAGAGGAACAGATTGGGTTAGCACCTGTCTTTCCATCACTCTTATTAGTTTTTAGACGTTTGCTGTAGTTACTTTGGCAGATGTGAACGCAACCGTTAGCTTTCAAAGTCACTGTCCTGCATAAATTGCCGTCTAATCGCATCTCGATGTGCCACCGACAGCTCTGAAACGGGGGAGGCGGAGCTGCAACTGGAGGTGCCCCACTCCATCACCACCTGGATAGCAGAAGCCGTCAGCTTGTCCGAGAAGAAGGGGCTGGGTTTGGCGAAGAGGGCGGAGCTTCGCACCTTCAAGTCCTTCTTTGTGGACTTCACGCTGCCCTACAGCTTGATCCGAGGGGAGCAAACCAAAGTGGTCCTCACCGTGTACAACTACCTGCCCACCTGTTCTGAGGTAAGATTATGGACCAAAGGAGGAAAACGAGTCACTTTTCCTTAACAAATAGGATTATGCTTTGCGTCAGATTTGTTCAGACCACTCCTAATATCATGATCCCTGTTTAAACTATATAACCTCTACTCATTTGAAAATGGGACAATTTTCATTTCCCAAGAAAAGGGGGCAGAAAATCTTATATCAGAAGGGTTGTTTTTTCTTAAACTGTTCCATAACAGATTGCAGACCTACCACTTTTCCAAAAGCCAAATAAAGGCAGAGGTTTACATTTCCTGATGACTTTTTTTATTCGGTTTGGCTGCCATTTGAGGGGACAAAAAGACACCTGGATCACCTGGATTGACTAAGCAAATGATAAGGGGTTAGTCAGGTCTAGTTGGTTGTTTTGTGATTTAAAATATGAGGTAAGCTAACAAAGTCAATATTCCAAATTGGTAGAATTTGTTTTCTTAATCAGTTCAATTAAAGTACATTTAGAATAATAATAATATAAAAGATGTGTATATATATTTTTCTGTATGTGTGTGTGTGCATGAGAGTTGAAATGTATGATTCCAATCATAGATAGTACATGTTGCAGATGTGTTGGAAATATCAAAGGAAATATAGGTTTGTAATGTCACAATGTGATGTTAGCTTAGAAGTATGTTTCAGAACTCACTTTGAAGAACACTCCAAGCTCATTCCTGGCCTCAAATGGGTCCATCCTGCACTCCATACAGATGACATCATAATATTTGCAAATGAGCCTGTTTAATGGCCTGTGCGTGCACCGTCCCGATGTTATGTTTGGTGGACATGCAAACCAGAGTAGCCCTCCCTTTGATGCCCGTCCCAGTAACACGTGATTTCTGTATTTTACGCTCGGTTATTTATGACTTGTGGCGTGCGGATAAAGAGCAGTTCGAGTGTTCTTTTGCATTACTGAGCATTGTGAAAATTGGATGGTGAGCGGAACTTAATCCTTCGGGGAGCCCGAGAAGCATGAGTCAGGCAGCATGGAAAATTCGCAATGCGACTTCAAAATTCTCTCTTGCTTTCAGAGCTTTGAGGAAATACACTATATGAGGAAGGGCGTTCCAAGCAAGATATGATGTCATTGTGGGCTGTCAGAGGAGATCAATTGCCTTTTTTTGTCTTCCTCTGTTCCCTTTTTTACAGGTTCATCTTAAAGTGTCCATTCCAAAGGGCATCAAGTTTATCGGCCATCCTGGAAAGCACCACCTTACCAGGAAGAAATGTCTTGCTTCCGGAGAGGTTACTCCTACATCCATCGTATTGTCTTTCTCTGAACTGGGACCTGTAAACATCACAGGTAAACTCAAAGGCAATCTACTTTCTATTTTAGAAAGGATTAAACATGTCCATCAACTGCATCAATTTATATTCTGTTTTAATGTTGACACAGTTTCATTAGAGTTATCGGGTAATGTAAAGTCAATGTAAGGCTGCTCGTCACCTTTTGCAAAATAGCAAAATCCTTATCTATGCTATTTTAGGATTTTGTTGTTCTGGCCACATATTTAGAGGGAAGGAAGCATGTCAGCATTTCTGACAGAGAAGGATGCCTATGTGAAAACGACAGATTAGATTGGGCCGGATGGAAGTAGAATTACCGTATTTTCCGGAGTATAGTCGCACCAGCCACAATATCTATTACAAAGGAAAAATTAACCATAGATATGTTGCACTGGACTGTAAGTCGCATGGACATACAGGTACATAACCTTAACATGAAAGTTGAGGAATACATGTCCGATATTCTGTTCTGTGATTGGCTATCGTGACAAACGTGACCAATAGGGCGGCCACCATACTACAGTACCCATGATGCATCGCATGTCATTTTCCTGTAGCCATAAGAGTGACTCTGTCACACAAAATTGTTTTATTACGGTAAATTAATTGAGAATCTAACAGTATATTTTTTATTTATAAGTCGCTCCAGAGTATAGGTCGCACCCCTGGCCAAAATATGTAAAAAGACTTATAGTCCGGAAAATATGGTAATTGAATTTTTATGTGGTGTAGCTCCCTAAACGCAGCCTTTTATCAGGAAATGTTTCCCCGGAAGGAAAATGCCTGACAAAAGAAAAGTCTTTTACTTGTGGAAAAGCGCCACAAGTAGCTACTCAAACGTGGCACGGCAAAACTTGTCGGTATACCGTTTTCCGCAGTTACTTCATTGTTGTCTTGCGCTTGTGTCGCATGTATATTACGTCACGGGCCAGTCAGCCAGTCCTTCTGTTTGGCACTCATTTGTGATGAAAAACCACCTAAACCGAGGCGTGCAGAGCTGTGCAGGGCTGAGTAGGTACCAGCGAAAAAGCCCCATTAGCGGAGCACTGCTGATCAAGGAGCTGAGCTTTTTTTTTTTTTGTGATCGGGTCACCCACCAAGGTTACAAACATTCCCCTCCCAAGTGCATGTGCAAACAAAGCGGGCCATCAGTGGGGGATTAACCAGAGCTGTACTTTCACATTCAGTGGCATGTTGATGAGTTTGCAGGTCAGTGGCGGTCAATGGGCCCCCCATGGCCCCACTCGTCGTTCCCTGGCCCCTTGTGTTTCCTTTTCACTACACACACACAAAGAGACACCACTGGCACGGGGCCACATTTCCAATGTGTTCCCCTTCAAGAGAACTGGGTGTTCTTCCACAGACATGTTTGGCCTGTGTAATGTATGTTAACATCTACAGATTACATTAGGTGTACAACCTGTGTTAGCATTTGCCATAAAAAAAAAAAACTTATGTTAGTAAAATCATGTTGTCACATGTATACAATTCCCAAATTCCCCCAAAAGTTTGTTTGCTTTATAAGATGTAAATAGAAAACAGAATTTATTCATTTGTAGACGAAATCAACAATTCATTAAAAAATGTAAATTATGTAAATAACAAAAATTCTGGAAAATTAACCAGTTCTGAAAAGAAACAGTGGATGGAAGATGTAAAAAAAAAAAAGAATAAAAAAGGTTTGGGTTAATTGGCATCAGACTACTGAAATGATAATGCATTAGAAGAAGAGCACTATAGGATCCATCCTGATGAATCAAAATAAAATAATTAAATGTGAAAAGCCTTGTTATCCAATGGTATACGACTACATTAGTCTAAAAGTGTCATTTTCACATCTGGAAAGATGTGAAAATAGAAAGATTTTCTGGAAACATTACTGTAATATAATTTATATTTATAGAAAACATAGAATATTTTAGAGTAATGTCGGCCCCCATCCTGACAAAACATTTTTCATTGCATGTTTGAGTAATATAATGCGATACCACAAACTGCATTTATTACAACAGCATAATTTTAGCAGAACTGTCCAGATGCTGGACATGCTGGCCTCCAGTCCCAGCTATTCACCAATTGAAAAAATCATAGCATCTTGAAATGCAGAATATTACTTGCTATAATCCTTTATCAGATAATGTTCTTATTTTAAGGGGTGAGCAGGAGGGTTGGTTTCAGGATGTTTACGGACTGGGCTTAAATGGATGCTAAACATGGGTACACACAGGTCGTCCAAACCTTTTTTTGAGCTGTGATGCTACTCACTCTCTGCTCATGTTTGCATCCTGCTTTAAGATTGACATTTTACACCGCATCCCAATTTTGGGGGGGATTTGGATTGCATCTAAAACTAAATCTATTGTCAAAAAAGTATGATCTTCTACGAGGTGTTGACAGCTTTTTTGTCATAATCTGCTGGAACTGTATTACTACAGTACTTTGTAATGATATCTGTACAATCTATTCAGTTAAACCATTTAGGAGACTATCACCTCTTTAGCAAACAAAACAGAAAATTACTTTTTTTTTGGTTTGAATTCCTTATTTGGCCTTTTAACAAAATATGTAAAAAGAAAAAACAAAAACATTTTTAATATGAATAATTTATTACTATGCGATGAGTCAAGATTACTTTTTTTGTGTAGTCTTCTGCCCCCTGTTATAAGGTGTATCTGATTGTGTACAATAGGATTTTGAGCAAAGTTTTTACCATTAAATTATGCAAAAGGTGTCAGACGCAAAACATTTCAGAAACCTTACGTATCAAATATGATACATTTGGCATTATAGGGTTAAGGTTCTTTTAGCAACAAGCGATGTGCTGGGGGTCACACTGACATTTTAATATATAGCACCGTACCAGGATTGATTTTCTGAGAGAAAACTGATTCTCATCTCTGCAACCCTGACAGCGCGTGCCATCGCCTACAGCACACCGAGCTGCTGTTCAGATGGATTTCTGACAGCCAAAACGGGAAATGACATCGATGAAAAGAGAGTCCCAGCTGCCCTGGACTACGTCCGCAGGACTGTCCTGGTGGAGGTAAAAAGGCTGACTGTGGTCACTGTTAGTGGAAAGGGGATGTTTGTGTTTTTATGAGTATTTAACATAAGATATTGTATGACTGTTTCATTACTGTTCCTTTTTTTTTCTTTGCAGCCAGAGGGCCTTCCCAGAGAATATACCTACAGTGTTTTCTTCTGTCCCAATGGTCAGTATAAAAATACGTGTAATAAGTAGTATCCCAAAACAAATTCATTCACTCTTTCATTGTCCATTCTGCCTGTTCGTAGTATGGTCATGGCCAAAAAACATGTTCAAACAAATGCAGTCTTGTCAATTTCTAAGTGTTTCCTCTCATAGATGATCAATAATTACAAATTATTTCTATCTATCCATTTATCCATCTATCTATCTATCTATCTATCTATCTATCTATC